AGATATTCATACTCATGAACACCAAGCTTATGGGACCAAAAATGAACACAAACTCAAGGTTAACAAGATCTAAGCAAATAACTCATCAAGTTTCAAACTTTATACCTTCAAAGGATGCTTGAGGGTGAAACACTTTTGGATCCAAGATGCCTTGAGTTTCCAATATAATTTCCCTTCCTTCTTCTTTCTTCAAGAACACCAAAAATGCACTCTCGAACTCAAAAAGGCTCACACAAAGGATTACGGGTTCTTAGGGAAGAATTGGGAGATGAAGGTTAATGAGGGAAAATTTCTTGAGAAATTAATGATACTTAAATAGTGCTCAAACCCTAAAAATTAGGGTTTGCACTTTTTACATATACGCCCTGCGTACATAAGAGTACGCCCAAGGTACGTGAGAAACCACAAGTTTTTCATTAAGTGACAGTGGGACCAATTTTGCAACAAATTTCATTCTAAGAGGTATAAATGGAAAAATACCTAGATCAAGGTGTTACAGCATGCTTCCTTAAATAGAATTTATAGACACTAATTTTGTTCTTAAATTAATCAGGTTAATTAACTTGCAATTGTAGTTTTCATGCAAACTAATGAACTTTTCTAAATACTAAACAATTGAAATCACAAATACCTAGATCAAGGTGTTACAGCATGCTCTTCGCCTGGATGGCTAGATGGATAGATCATTTCCAGTCTACCCCTACCGTTTCCGACCATCCTATATAACCTCCAAAACTTTATGACGACCCACCACACCTCCATTCAGTCTCTTAACATAACAACAACACACCTTCAATTCAAATAGTACTCCGATCTGATCGATCTTTCTATTCCCTATCTATCTTCTGTTGGTAAACATAGGAGGCTTACAGAGGTGTTCTTGGAGGTTTTATAAGTAAAATATGGGATAAAAGAACATATGGGCAAAGCCTGCACTTTTATTCACTTTAGAAAGATATCAAGGTCGGATGTACCTAGTACATACACTTTGCCCTTTTAAACTAAAATTAATCTTAGAAATATGGAAGTTGAATCTACATTACTTTTGACTCGGTAACTTACCCAACATGGCAAAAGACTTATTAAAACTCTTAATATTGATAAACAGAGGTTAACTATCCTCCTACTAAGTGTTCCTACTTATCCTCTTAATTACAAGATCATCACAAGTGTCAAAAATCAAAGGATGATATAAGGAAAGAGAATTAGTGCTTTACACATGGCAATCATTGAATGGGTAGGAGGATGAGGTAGGAGGATTAAGTAGAAAGTAGTTTAATTTCCCATTTATAAGATAATAATAAAACACTTGAAATATATTAATTAAGTCAACAAGCTCCGTCCTAATCCAAAATTTCATCTGTTTAACTCCAATCAGCTCCCGTACATCTTTATGCTTCACTTTTCCCATGGATTTTGTAACTATATTTGCCTTTTCTTCCAAGCTGCTTACATGAGTTACTTTTAATTCTCCATTTTCCACATATTCTCTAATAAAATGGAATCTTGTGTCGATATGCTTACTCCTCCCATGAAATATGGGATTTTCATAAGGTCTAAGTCTGACTTGTTTTCAATATACAGGATTATGGGTGCTATTGTTTGTCTGGTTATACCTGTGAGAAGGCGTCTCATCCATATATCTTGACATGTTTTCATGGCAGCTGCCATGAACTCCGCTTCACATGAGGATAAAGCTGCACTATGTTGTTTCTGAGATGCCCATATACGAGGTTCTCATTGATGTAGAATGCCATGGCAGCAATACTTTTCCTATCATTTACATCTATTGCCAAATCATTGTCAGAATAACCAGAAATTTTGATTTCTTTCTCTCCTTTTGATTAGATCAGACCCTAATCCAAAGTTCCCTTCACATACCTGAGAATACCTTTCACAACCTGGAGGTGTTTCACGATTGGTTTTTCCATGGCATTCTAACTTGGGAGGTCATCAATCATTTTCGGAATAATCATTCATTTTTAATTGAAATGAAAAAATAGTGGAAATGGGAGAAGCAATGGGTTATAGTATGGAAGGATGCTTTAAGCGAGTAAAAGAAATTGTTGAATGTCACAGTGTGAGAAATGTTATTTAATGAATTGGATATCTTTAAACATTCAAGGAGGGGATTATTTGGATAAACGGTGGTGGGTTAAAAGTTTGTGTAACTATCAAAAAGTGAACTTTCTTGCAATTCAAGAGACAAAAATAGAAGTTATTGATTATGGGACGACACAGTCGTTTTGGGGAAATAACTCTTTTATGCATGCGTTCTCACCTTTGCATGGAGCTTCAGGTGGAATTCTTGCTATTTCGAATCCATATTGTATTTTTCAGAAGCGGGTGTTCATTTTTTATCACTTTGTTGCTATTGACGCGACTTGGGTGATGTTGGGGTTAGAGGTTCTATTTATTGTTGTTTATGCCCCCTCAAAGGGCTAGTAATAAATGACAATTGTGGGCAAAGATTTTAGATTGTTTCTTTCACAGGAGAATGCATTATTATGGGTGCTTTTAACAAAGTGTGGGATGAGTCAGAAAGATTGGGTTCTCAATTTAATTTAGCGTCTGCGAGAACTTTCAATGACTTTATAGAAAATGATGATTTGGTTGATATTCCGTTAGGAGGGCCACATTTTACTTGGAGTGATAAATGGGGATCGAAATTCAGTAAGCTTGATAGATTTTTGCTTACGTTGGGCCTTTTGCATTATTTTCTCATATTACGGGTTTGGTTTTGGATAAAAAGTTACTAGATTATCGTCCCATTCTTTTGTTAGAGCACCGTGTTAATTATGGTCTGACTTCGTTTCAGATCTTTCATTCTTGGTTTGAAATGGAAGATTTTGATCAGATAGTTTGTAACGCATGGTTGCATTCGATTGATGGGTTGGATGAGAGTAATCCTTGGGTTGTTTTTAAGAAGAAACATTAATTTCTTAAATTTAGTATGAGAGTATGGAACTCTAGTATGGGGGATCAATTGTCTATTAAGAAGAATAATTTACAGGATAAGATCGATTCTTTGAAATATCTCTTTGTCTTAACAATGAAGATTATAAATGTCATATTTTTTATTATATATGATTATTGCCATCACCATCACCCTCACCTTCACGGGTAGTAACAATAATGAAGAAACATTAATGGTGACTACAGAGACACCACCTTCACGGGTAGTAACAATAATGAAGAAACATTATGGTGACTACAGAGACACCATTTCCGAAGAGAGTCAGTCATTTTCTAGTTGAGAAGAGCAATCCTCAAGTTGCATACCACTGCAAGAAAGAAAAACGATATTTGTTACATCTTAGAAGGAAAAAAACTCGAGTTGTTGCAACAACAAGTGTATGGATTTGAGCAAGGATACGCAAAAATTTGGAGAATGCAAGCACACATGTAAGTTTACGAGCTCCTCAGAGGGGAGTGAGTGAATTTGGTTTATGACAAGCGGCATTGTGTGTATGTCATAAAAACTTGTTGTCGTATGATCCACAATGTAACTCCATTCAGTCATCTTTAGTTTTGTTCATATAATAGCTTCACAATTATGCCTAATAATCAAAATGCATTATTTAATTAATCGTATGTAACTCATCATGTGTTTGAGAGGTTCGTCGATGCTCGATCGATGAAACACGAATTAATTGCACATAGGCAGGCATGACCGTGTTCAGCCTAGTTACATATATACACATTCATAATCTAAATTTATTGTTGTATTATAAGCTAATTAACTTCCCCCCACATTAATTTCTCAATGCTGACCAAATTTTGAGTAGAACAAATTATTCGTGAACACTAAATGGCTGAGGTGGCGCCTCTTAACGTCGGTATAACACGGGTAACACCGCCCCCTTTCTCGTTAAGGGATATTAAGCCACAACTCGTTGTAACGAAGATGTGCAATAACGAGAAATGTTATTGGTTTTTGATTTTTTTAACTGCTAAATTGGAATGATTTTATAAAAAAATTAATTAGTGGGCGTTATAACATGGAGACCATTTCCTACCATGAATCCATGATGTTATAACATCATGGGTGATGTTGCACCTCTTTGATATTATAACATGTTGTCCATACCCATTGCTCTAAAAATGATAGGAGTTGTTCAAGTTGTTGTCTAGATCATTAAACCATATGTTTCAAGTAATATTGTAACTTCATGTAATTACCGGGTATATATACATTGTCCGAGTAAGTTAACAAAAGGTTCTGGTCCATTGCTACATGCACTAAGAGGTTCAAGTTCATTCTTGCTGATGATATTGTTCACAAAATCCAGTTCTCATGTTTCATCGATTTAGATTTATGCTCGGACAAAGGTTCGTTTAATTTCATTTGGTAAACGTAATATCCGATCTACATCTTTTTAATAAGCCAAAATCGTGGCATTCAAACTTGTTGATCATCGTGGCATTAACATCTTTAGTCATAAATATGATGTCGGTTATTAGGTTCTCCAATAACAAACACAAAATTAAAGATGTGAACAAAACTAAAGATGATTGAATGGAGTTACATTTATATCAAGATTCTATATGTAGAGTTAGAAATATGATTTTGACCCTAAAACTGTCAAGCATTTGAATTCAACTCTAAAACTGCAGATGTATGAGCCAAGTTCGATAATATGAGTTAAGTCCAAAATGTACTCAACAATCTCCCACTTTGAGGCTAAAAGTTCAAAAGCAATTAGTCCCTAGTCTCAACAAGTTGATCTAATGTTTTCACACATACACAAACAACAATAACAACAAAAAAAAAAAAAAAAAAAAAAAACATATTTACACAATAATATGGTTTTTAAAGGCAAATCTATACTTGAACCGTCAACTTTAAAGAGTGAAGAAGGCACCTTGATCCCTTAACTTTAAAGAGTGAAGACGACACCAGATACCGCCGGGTTAGAAGCTCTTTGGGACACAAGAATATGTGAATATATAAACGAGGACAACATGTACATATCGATCAAAATAACATAATGTTTTTATTAGGCGTAATTGCAGAGTCCATATATGCAATAACCACCCGGCATGCACTTGTTACCACACGACCCACAATGCCGCTTGTCATAAGCCAAGTTCACGCACTCTCCTCCGCAACACGAGCTGGTAAACTTGCACTTGTTCTTGCATGCTCCACAGTTGTGTTTGTCCTCGGTCATGTCCATACACTTCTTGTTGCAGCAAGTCGAGTTTTTGCCTTCTAAGATGTAGCAAATCTCATCATCTTTCTTGCAGTGGTCTGCAGCTCTAGGGTTGTTTTCAGCTAGGAAACGACTTACCCTTTTCGGAAACGGTTTCACGTGCAGTGATTTGCCGGGAAGTGAGGTTTTGTGGTTGTCACCGATAGAGGCAATAGTGATGAGGACGATGGTTATGGCCATGGAAACGACCACCATGAAGAGTACTCTGACGATTTTCGACATTGTTGTGAATGTTATGGAGAAGGGAGAGATCAGAAGGTCTTTAATAGGAGACTGGAATGCGTTTTAGATTTCTGTAAGAATTAACATGGAGCTTTTGGACGTTATATAGGGTGCATCTCTGTGTGTATGTGTTGCGGGGGAGGGGGTTGACCCATGGAATCAGGTGCGATCATGCACTCTTTCAAAAAGCTAGCTTAATTCCATGGGGGCGGGTGCATGCATGTGTGTGTTGATTAGTGCACACTCTAATCTAGCTAGTCGTCGATGACCTACGCGGTGGTGAATTTTTTTGGCTTAGAAAGTCAACTTATATTTTCTGCTTTAAGAGACGTCATATACATAACTTCAACATGAGGTTTTCTTTGATTAACAAAATGATATTTAAACTCATAATTTAAAAGGTTTGTTCAGGAATAAATATATGGGATTGAAAAAGAAGAATCAAATAAAATGTCGCTGTTAAATCTAGAACCTAATATTTTGATATAATTTTGTTTGATTAAAGTGACAACATACATTTCGTTTCACCTAAAACACTACAAACATAACGACGTATTTGGGATGAGAAATCAAATTTTACATGACATGAGCCAAACAAATGTTTATATGAACAACAAAATCTGATAATAATATTAAATAATTAGGAAATATGAGGAGTTTTACCATGTCTATAATTAAGGGCCAGTTTAGTAGGATTTGAAAAGATGGTGACTATGATTTATGATTGAATATGGATTGAATGGAATATCCGTGACAATGTAGAGTAAAGTTAAAGTTGAATGTAGGAGTTGTATGATGATTGAATGGTTTAATAGAATCATAGATAATTAATGTTATTATTTTTCAGTTAAATTTCAAACCAAAAATCAATATAATCATATTTTTATATTATTTTTATTTTTGAATCTTTTTTTTAACTAAACCACAAAAATTAAATTAATGATATTTTTAGGTATTGTATTATTTAATATATCATATTTTTTCAAATCAATAAATCTAATGAAAGATTTAAAAATAAAACTCACGAAAATAAAATATTGTTAAATATGACTTGAACATTTAGCAGTCTGACAGAACATTATGGCAGAGCATTGTGGCTGAAAGCTCTGTTCGCCGACTAAAAGCTCTGTTGATAAGTAACAGCTCTATCTGGTGACTAAAAGCTCTATCTGGTGACTGAAAGTTGTCGGTGACTGAAAACTACTGTTGAGTGAAAGCTCTGTTTGGTGGCTGAAAGTTCTGTTGGTGAGTAAAAGCTCTATTTGGTGGCTGAAAGCTTTGTTGGTGAGTGAAAGCTCTGTTTGGTGGCTGAAAGCTCTGCTAATGAGTGAAAACTTTGTTTGGTGGTTGAAGGCTCTGCTGGTGACAGAAAGCTCTAAAAGTAGTTGTATGGAGACATGTGATTGGTTGACACCTTTCTTGGACCTATGGGCTGATGGGTTTTGCCCATTAGGGTTTTAGGTTTGATCCCCGGTCTATAAATAGGGATGCATGCTAGTCACGCATTTGTACCTTTAGTGTCTTGATTTCTAGTGAGTAGTCGAATCTTTGTTGAATTGTACTTGTATCCTTTGTTTGAGAGCTCATAAATAGAGAATACTCCTCTCCTTCTCATGAACGTATGTCATCTTGACTGAATCACGTAAATACAATGTATTGTGTGCTTTTGGTTTCGTGTTTATCCGCTTTACTTCCTAACATGCCGTATCATAGCTTGGCATGTGGCATCATATCCGTTCTAATTCTTGAAAAGTGTTGTCTGATTTCATAACAAATTTATTAGTTAAAAATTTATTATAAACTAATTTCGATACAATATTACATTAATTTTTTTCCATGGATTCAAATACCAAATTGGAAGAGGAACGAGAAATTTGAAGGAACCGTTGTTGTAAAGATGTCAAGTTAAAATATAATTTGCACATATCGTTTCTTTTATATTAATGTATTTTTTGGTTTTGTATTTTTTTAATTAATGTACTTTTAGATATTGTATGTTTTAGATTTCAAAATTTTTAATTATTGTAGTTTTTAGTGTTTTATTTTTTATAACTATTGTATCTTTTATTTTTAAATTAACATATTTAATTATTAATTAATTAAGAAAAAAATAAAAGCGATTTTTAAGTTACACCGACGATTTCAAAATTCTCTCTCCCGATGGGATCAAAAGCCATTGATCGCCGCTCATTATCTCCGGTGATCTCGCATATCATTTTTTGCTAGCCTTCTTCTTCGTTCATCATGGACATGATGTATGGCTTGGAATCAAGATGGGTTCCAACTGATGAAGATGGATGGATCAAGAATCAGAAACCACACGTTAAGGCTAGGGCTCCAAGGATTGATTCTCAACGATTTCGTGGCAAAGTAAGTTTTGATATTCAATTTTTTTACGTCACTAATTTCCCAGAATCAGTTAGAACCGAGGATTTACGGAGAGTATATGCTCAACTAGGAAAAGTTGTTGATGTCTTTATATCGAACAAGAAGTTTCGTATGGGTAAATGATTTGGGTTTGTTAGGTTCTCGGGAGTTCGTAATGTTGATCATATTGTCACACCCCCTGCCCGACCTTTAGCGGAATCACCAAGCAGTGTGACGGTATAAAGAGCATCAATCCTATTAACCAGAGAATACATGCATTTTGAAAGTCAACATAATGTTCATGAGTGCACGAGTTTTTATATCGAATTGTTGAATTCCTTTTAAGAATACTTTTATTTAGTGAAAACATTTCTTATTTATTTATATAGTCTTCTATATTTTAAGATATTTTTTATTGATCTTAAAATCTTTTCAAAATATCTAACGATCCTAACGTAATATAATTAGGAAAATCTTTTGTTAATCCTAATTTACTATCTTTTAAGGATTTCTAACGATCCTAACGTATTTTGATTACCATAACAGGCGTCCCTAATGGTAATCTAAGCTCTAAGGAAATTTTTAATATATTAACGTGAGCCTCTATAATCGACGCTACGATCGTAAATGTACCCCTGGTCACGACGCTTCATCAGACGTCAAATAGTAACTTATATAGAAGGTATCCTGCCGGGATTGTAGCTAGCAGTCGCAGATGGTGTTTTCATGGCCTCGTATAGATCTATACATAACTTCCTAGCTCTCTCAAGATTAACGATTATATGTATTGGGAATATGCTGAATTTAATCAAGACTTTTGGATGAATAACCAACTCACTAACGTATTAACCATAGGTTTTTATCTTTTATCTTTATCATAATTACCCTTATAAATATATATATATATATATATATATATATATATATACACACACACACACACACACACATCACACTATCTTTGTATGTACCTCT